TTCCACAGATGTAATCAATCTGATTCCTATGCATACCATCAGGTGAAATCCATGTGTATAATCTGCGTTTATGTCTCTTAAAAAACGTGTTTGCAATGAATAAGTCATTGATACTAGTCTGGTCTTTTATCATCAGTCCGTAGGATAGTCCGTGCTCTTCTCCAACACCGTAACTATCCGAAGGCGTCAGTTCTTAGTCTGTCATCCTGAGTCATTGTCCAGCTTTCAGATGTGTAGGAGGTAATTGGGACGCACGCATGTAGCAGCACTTTGCTCCTTCTATGGCCAAATGGTATTCCATTGTGTGGGCCACGTGCTCCCAGCGACTGCTCGTGACCCCGTAGACAGAGGAGCTTTGTCCCATCACGTCGCTGAGGCTGGTCTTCGGTGCAGAAGCTGACTGCCCACCTCTCTCCCTGGGAGCCGCAAGTCGGAAGGACAGCAGTGGTGTGGGTCTGCTTGGCACCGATGTTTGTTCATCTATGGGTGGACATGTGGGCTTCTTCTGGTGAACAATGCTGTTCTGAACACTCACATACAAGCCTTTGCTTGAACGTATGACTTCATGTCTTCGGGTAGACACTCAAGAGCCGACTTCTGAGTTATATGCTGACTGAGTTTATTCAGCCTTTTAACACTGTGCCCTTTGGCGTTTTCGCCAGCCGTGTGTGAGGGCTCCCCTTTCTCCATGTCCATCCTGGCCGTCCTGAGGGGTGGACGGGGTCCTCGCATGGTTGGATGGGCACGTACTAAGGGCTGCAGAGTCCTGCTCTTCAGCAGGTCCTTGGAGCCTTCAGGGGTCTCCATAATGGGGCGACACTGAATATGGAACCCCCTTGTCAGGCCAGCTGCGTGGACCCCTACCCTCGAGTGAAGGTGGACTTTGCGCTCTCGAGCCACGATGACTTGCTGTTGCCGCTGTCCGAGCCCATCGAGTGGACATACCACAGCCCCGCCGAGGAGATCAGGTGGGCCGGCCCCCTCGGTGTCCAGTGGCCCTGTCCACACAGCCCACCTCTGGTCATTATGGGGGCAGCATGGAGGGTGGGAGGGTCTGGGGAGCTGCTCGGTGGGGACATGTCCTTAAGAGGAGACTGCAGCTCTCCTGTGTTCCTGCTTTGTGGCCTTGGGCCCGGGCCTGCCCTTGCTGGGCCCCTGACTACCTGCTTCAAATCAATGCTGGTGCCCACCTCCCAGGGTTGTGGGGGATCAGGGACACGTTACCTGAGGGGCAAGCGTCATCAGAATGGGGTGCCTCCAAGAGCTCACCCCACCTTGGCGCTGTTACCAGTCACTGTCTTTGGGGAACTTTATCCAGTCGCAGTCCAAGGTCTGAGGTTGAGAGAGAGACGCATCTCACACACGACTCCATTGGCAAGAGCAACTCCTGACTCAACAGAGTAGGGAGATCGAGGCGGCCAGCCCCGCACGTGTGACTGCGGGCTCGTCCCCATCAGCTCACGATTCCATGGGCCTGCGCTTGTGCCACTAGTTCTCATTGTGCTGTCCCATCCCACACCGAGATCTGCCTGTAATGGTCACCAACCCCTCATGCTGGGTCACCCCACACCAGCACAGGGCTGGTATGCACACACCCTCTCGCTGCAGGTGAAGGGCCCCATTGCCTCCAAGCTGGAAGCTGAGGGGATACAGAGGTGGGGCTGGCCAGGTGCCCTGGACAGTGTTATATGAGCAGAGTAGAGAGGTCCTCTGTGGGCCACTTCCCAACAGAAGAGCGGACGGGACCACCTCCAGCCTGCACCATCAGGGCGGATCTTGGGCCCGTTGGGCTTGGCGTGGCTGGGGGAGGACTGGGGACCTGTCCCTGGCTGGGCTGCTGGGGCATCAGAAGATTGTAAACCAAATGCATTTTGCTCCCCAGCCTCGGGCCCGCCTGCTGGCTCTGGGACTTCCTGCGACGCAGCAAACAGGTAAGAGTCCTATCTCTCCCAGCCGTTTCCCCAACCAAGTTTCCTTCCCTATGGGCCTGTGACTTATTTGTTCCTTACACGGTTTTTCTGGAAGCTTCTGCTGCCATTGGGCTCTCACCTGCAGTTTCCACAGCAGCTGAAAGGTGGCGCTCATTGCATTTTCTCAGTGTCCTCTTCCTGCCAGTTCCATGGCTCTGGTTTCTGCCCTGTGGCTCCTGGGTTACATGTTAGGTCCCTACGCTGACAGGTCAGTGGTTCTAATCCACCAGCTGTTCTGTGGGAGAAGACGAGGCAGCGGCTCCCCTAGAGTTCCAGCCCTGGGAACGGCGGGGCCGTTGAGGAGTCAGAAGTCGCCACCATAGTGGGGCTTTGTTGTTGTTTCCATTCTTTGCTCTGGGTTCAGCGGGGGCGGCTGAGCTGGTGCAGAAGCCTTTCAGCAGCGCGCTGACCCAGCAGGCCTGTCCTCTGTGGTCCAGCGTCACCGTGAGTCGGAACGGACTCGGCAGCTCCTATATAAGAGGCAGAGGCCGAGTCCACCTCACTGCTGGGCGTGCTGTCCTCCCAACTCAGCCTTTTTCTTTCTAAGACTGACTTTTATTCCTCCCCGCCCTCTTCTCTCTGAGAGCGTCTCTCTGGCCCCGGCTGGCAATGGTATATTTTTAATACAGCATCAAAAAGCATTTCTTCCCCATTGGGAGGTTTAGTCTAACCAGACATGGATGTGGCCATGTTGCTGGACAGTCCTGGTGGTTCCCATGTGATGACACCCACAGTCAGGGACTGGCCACCTCCTGTGATGACAGTGACCACGCCGTGCGCCCTAGGGTCGGCAGGGCAGCTCCTTACCCCCAGGCCACCAGCGCTCCCTTTGTGTCAGAGATCAAAGGAAACGGTAGTGGAATGTTACGTAACATGACGTGTATAAATGATGAAATGAAAAGCAAATATGATCTGTAAGCTTGCACTCAAATTCACCGGCCGCCCTAAGAAGAAAGACGGGTGGTGTCCTCCTGTGCAATTAACAGCCTCTGACCCGCCGAGAGCCAGCTGGGGGTCAGCACAGCTCAAGGACACATAACAACCACACTGATAGATTTTTTTTTAAATATAACATTAATACTATTGATGAATGTTCTGGTGGTGTAGTGATAAGAAGTCACGCTGCCATGCAGAGGCATGTGATTCAAATCCACCTGCTTCTCTGTCAGAGAAAGACTTGTCATCTCCTTCTGCGGGGTTTACAGCCTCTGCAGACCTGCTGGAGAGTCAGCTGAGAGTCGGCTCTGAGACAGCACGTCACATCAACACCCATGCCGCACCTGATAGAAGGGTCCCTTTTCTTTCCCTTCACCCTTCTGTTTCTAAATATTTACTCTTTTTTTTTAAATTTTATTTTATTATTTTTGTGTGAGTGTACCGTCAAATCAGATCTGACTGGTACAGGA